TTGATCTATATTCTGTCACTGTACCAGTACCACACTGTCTTGACCACCACGACAATATAAGTAGGAGGATTTGAGGTCAGGGAGTGAGATGCCTCCTACCTTTTTTCTCTTTTTCACGAGTGCTTTGCTTATTTGGAGTCTCTTTCCATTCCAGATGGAATTGGAAATCATCTTTTCCATCTTGTTGAAGAATGAAATTGGTATTTGTATAGAGATTGCATTGAAATTGTTGATTGCCTTTGGTAGAATTGTCATTTTCACAATATTGAGTCTTCCTATCCAAAAGCATGGTATATTTTTCCATTTCTCCAGGATGCTTTTTGTTTCTTGTAGTAATGCTTTGCGATTTTCTCTGAATAGGTCTTTTTTTGTTTCTAGTTAGATTTACTCTCAAGTATTTAATCTTATGATTAAGTAATGTGATGGGTATTATTTTTCTTAGCTCCAGTTTAGTATTCTTTTTGTCACTGTAGAGAAATCCAATTGGTTTTTGTATGTTGATTTTGTGAACTGTCACTTGGCGGAATTGAATGTCCAGTGGTTTTGTTGCTGAGATTTTAGGGTTTTCTAAGTATACTATCATATCATCTTCATATAGAGGTAATTTTACCTCATCTTTGCCAATTTGGATACCTCTTATTTCCTTCTCTTATCTTATTGCTATAGCTAAGACTTCCAATATAATATTGAATAGGAGAGGTGATAGTAGGCATCCTTGTTTTTTAATCTTAATCCCCTGTTTCCTAATCTCTTTCTGTTGAGAGAGCTTTATCTTTATGAGCTTTGAAATCTTCTGTTCACACCACAACAAAATAAGGGTAAACAACCCAATTAAAAAATGGGCACAGGATATGAAGAGATACTTCACCAAAGAAGACATTCAGAGGCAAACTAACTAAATGTTCAAAATCCCTAGCTCTAAGAGAGATGCAAATCAAAACAACTATGAGATATCATCTCACCTCAGTAAGAATAACAAAATTTAACAGAACAGCAAATAACCTCTGTGAGGAGAAACTGGAACCCTTATTCACTGTTGATGAGAATGTAAAATGGTGCAACTACTATGGAAGACAATATGGCACTTTCACAAAAAGTTGCAAATAGAGATACCATTTGACCCAGCAATTCCCCTATTGGGAATATACACTAAAGAAATTCTAATTGCCACCCAAGCAGATATATGCACACCCATGTTTATTGCAGCTTTATTCACAGTAGCAAAGAGTTGGAAACAACACAAGGCCCATTAACAAAAAAATGGATAGAGAAGCTGTGGTACATTCACACAATGGAATACTATGCTGCATTGAAAAACAAGGAACTCAGGAATTATTATACAGAATGAGTGACCCTGGAGGACATTATGCTGAATGAAATATCCCCGTCACAAAAAGACATACAGCATAATGCCACTGTTATAAAACTGGACTGACATGGGGCTGTGGGGAAACTGAGAAAAGGGAATAAATAATCTAAACGACAACATTGAATGATTGTAAACCCAAGTTCTTTATAAACTTTCATTAAAATATTAATTAAAGAAATCTTCTGTTCAACTCTTCCCCCCCCCCTTTATTTTATATTGGCTTACATACAAAAATGTTAATCTTCTGTTCCTTAATCTTCATTGAGAGAGCTTTATCTTCATGTGCTTTGGAATCTTCTGTTCAACTGTTTCCTCCCCCTTTATTTTATATTGGCTTGAGTACAAAATTTTTGTACATTGTGTATACATCGTGTACATTGCATTTTATACATTCTTACATTTACATGAAATATCACTCATATGCGTTGTGTTTTATAAAATGAATCACCATTGATCTGTGCCTACTCTTGCCCTATGTTTTCAAATTCCCACTGGATCTTTCTTAATTCCTTCAGTCCCCTTCCACCACTAGGATAAATTCGGTTATCCTAGTGCTGTATTCCCTTTCCACCCTCTGTCCTCCTATACCTCTCCCCTTCCCCTTTTTGGCTTTTATACATTTTTACTAGTTATCCTTCTATTTTCATAGTGATCTTATGCACTATTTCTCCTTATGAGACTGAATTAGTTTAGTTAGAATACTCTCTAGACTCTGCCATGGTATATAGTATTTTACAAAATCATTGCTCCTTAGAGCTGCAAAGTATTCCATTTTGTAAAGGCACCATAATTTCTAAATCCATTCATTTATTGATGGACATTTGGTCTCTTTCCATCTTGCTATTGTGAATAATGCTACCATGAACATAGGCATAGAAATCTCCATTTGTGTCTCAGTTTTATTTTCCTTGGGGTATATTCCTAGCATTGAAATAGCTGAGTCACATGGGATTTCTTTGTTCAGCTTTTTGAGGAAATGCCAAACTACCTTCCAAAGTAGTGTACTATTTTACAATCCCAGCAGTACATGAAAATCACAGTCTTTTCACATTGTCTCCAGTTGTTCAGTTCTTTAACTTTGTAATTTCTTAACTTTACTTTGGCTTCTTTGCTTTCCAGTGCAATAATAAGAGTCTCATCTGACATCCATTTTGGTCTTTTCTTCCCCTCTGTCTTTGTAATTTTGCTTGCTTCATGGATGATATACTTGATGTCATCCCACAGCTCATCTGGTCTTTGTTCAGTAGTATTCAAGGCTTCAAATATCTTTATTTGAGTGAGATAGACTCAGTGTCTTATTTTGGCTCTTATGGATTTGTTTAATTTTCTTTAGCTTAAGTATCAACTTCCACATGCGTAGTTGATGGTCTATTTCACAGTCAGCATATCGTGTGATTTTCATAGCTGGTATTGAGCTTCTCCAGTTATTTCCCCCACAGATATAGTCAGCCTAATTCCTATGTAGTACGTCAGATCCATGTATATAGTAGCTGTTTGTGTTTTTTTAATAAAAGGTATTTGCTATGATTTTATAACATGGATTGAACAAACGTCTATCAATTCTACTCCAGCTTCATTTCTGTCACCAACTCTGTATTTTCTGACTACTGATCCTTCTTTCTTGTTAGCAACTTTTGAATTCTAGTCAGCAATTATTATTAATTAATCTTTGTTGCATGTTTGATTGATTTCAGACTGCAAAAAGTATAGAATCCATAAAAGAAGTGGGTGCTTTTAGTTGTATCAATTCAGTCCGTCTTTGCTACAAAGAGCTTGAACCTTGGAGGATGAATGGGGAATCTTTTTTACTCTAAAATGGTTAGTAAGCAGTTTCCAGATTAAAGAAACAGTTATGTGCAAAGGATAAAGGCAGAAAAAACAATACATGGTAAGTAGCTAAAAACTAGAGTAGAAAGCATCTAACAGAGACAGTAGCTAACTGCTGAAAGATAAGTTATCTAGAAAGAAATATTACAGCTATTCAGCTCTGCTCTTGTAGCATGGAAAGCACCTGAGATTGTAAATAAATAGATAAGTATGAATGTGTTACAAGAAAATATTATTTATGGACTCTGAAATATTAATTTTATAATTTTTATATGTTATGGAATGTTCATATATTAATTTTCTTTTAACCATTTGAAGATATAAGCCATTCTTAACTCATGGAAATGATATTAAAGCAAGTTGTGTTCTTAATTTGACTTCTAATTTCTCTGTGGTTTGTTGATGAAATGGTAGACTGCACTCAATAGTGCACATAAAAAATTACATGTTGCTCTGTAAGTGAACAGTGGAGCTCTTGTGGTATAGTTCATAGTGAGTTGTGCTACTAACATAAATAAAGGCTATGTGCCTCAGGTGGTTGAATCCACTCGTGGTTCTATGGGAGTAAGATGGGCAGTCTCCTCCCATTGCTGCAGCTGCAGCTGCTGTTGCTAATAGGTGCTTTCACATTGACTGCAACTCATAGCAATGCTATTTAAAACAGATTGAAACCTTGCCATATTCTATGCCATTATTATAATTTCCGTCATACTCAATCTCATTATTATAGATACTGTGTCAGTCCATCTTGTTAAGGGTCTTCTCTTTCATTGACGGCCTGTCTATACCTTTCTCAGCATGCTGCCTTTTCCCAAGGGTTTTGCTCATTCTGATAACCTGGTCAAAGCATGTGGGAAGTTTCATCAGTCTTGCCTCTAAGGAGCACCATGGTGGCACTTCCTCCAAGAGAGATTTGTTTGTTCTTTTGACAGTCTGTATTATATTCAATACTCTTCACCAACATCACAGTTTAAAGGCATGAATTATTTTTTAGTCTTTCTTATTAATTTTTCAACTTTCAGATGCATACAAAGGAACTGAAAATACCTTAACTTGGGTCAGGAGCATCTTAGTCTTTAAATAGATACCTTTGCACTTTAAACAGATCCTTGAGAGTAGATTTTCCCAGTGCAACATATGTTTTGATTTTTTAATTCCTGCTACCATGTTGTTGCTTATTGATCCAACAAAATGTTTTTTTCTTTGTCCATCATGATGTTGCTTGTTGGTCCAATGATGGAGATTTTTTTTTATGTTGATATGTAATGCATATTGAAACTATAGTCTTGATTTTTTTCAGTAGGGCCATTATAAGTCAGAATCAACTTGACAACAGTGAGTTTAAGTAAGTGGCAATCTGTTTTTTATAATATAGCAGGAGAAATATGAAGAAAGTGTTTTTTTAATGTTATCTGGAGGAAACATAATATGTCTTAGCAATCTTTGTATATTTTCTCCTTATATTACTTAATCTCTTTTCAGGAAAAACTTTTTAGGAGAGAAGGACTATTTTTATCAGCCAATATAATATGGACTACACTATCAGAATGTCTGAGGAAAGAAGGACTATTAATAGTGAAATTCCCAAGAAGCTGTTGTAATAATCCACACATTAAGTGATGAAGCTGGGATTTTAGCAGCAGAAATAAAGATAGGAACAAATGCTAAAGAAAAAGACTTTTTTTTTTAACAAAAATCTGTTTTCAAACCTGTGAAAGCCGAATAAATTTATGTGTTTGATTTGCAGGCACAGGAAGAAATTGCCCGACTTAGGCGAGAAATGATGAAAAACTGTAAGTCTCCTAAGTCGACAACAGCGCATGCTATCCTCAGGCGAGTGGAGACGGAAAGAGATGTAGCATTTACTGATTTACGAAGAATGACCACAGAACGAGACAGTCTGAGGGAAAGGCTAAAGGTTTGAAAAACACTTTACCTCTGTGAACATGTCTGAGAAACAGTTGCAGTGAATTAAAGGCACTTTCTTATATTTTTCCCCCCCAACAGATCGCTCAGGAGACAGCATTTAATGAGAAAGCTCACTTGGAACAAAGAATAGAGGAGCTGGAGTGTACAGTTCATAATGTAAAGAAAATAAATTTTGTACTTTTGCCTTTAAACTGTTAATAGTTTTTCTTTCACTTTTTTTCTATGTTCTGAAATTCTTAATTTTCTCCAAGATAAACTACTGTATAGAATTTGTAGTCCTAAAATACAAACGTGATGTTGTATGGGGCCGTTACTCATTTAATATACTAGGAGTTCAATCTCAAGATTTTAGTACTTTTCTCCTCTTCTTATTTCAGTAAAGATAATATTTTCAAATATGGAGAAAATGGTTTATTTGATGTAAGGAAAGGATAGGAAGAAAAAGTTATTATGAAGTAAAAGCTAATTAAAAATATATTTGAATTGTGTATCAATAGGAGTCATTACATTTTTATTAATAAAAAGTTAGGAAGCTCTGATAACCTAGTGGTAAGAAATTACACTGCAATTGCAAAAGCACACAGTTTGAATCTACCGGCTGCTCTGCTAGAGAAGGACAGTCATTTGCCTCTTGTGCAGTTTACTGCCTCTAAAATTCCACTGGAAAGTCAGCTCTGAGTCAGTTCCAACTCAACAGCAGACAGCAACAAAAACAATTAAGGATTTGCCGTGCTATGCATACACACACACAAATGAAAAGAATTTTACTTTTTATTACCAAATTTGATTTAATTTATGGTGCGTAGGTGGCTTAGTGGTAAAGAGTTGGACTGCCAATGCAAAGGTATGCAGATCAAATCCACTAGCAGCTCCACAGGAGAAAGATGAGCGATCTCTTCCAGTGAGATATAATGCCTTTGAAAACCTGGCATCAGTTATTTGTTGGGTCTAGCTTGATGCTTCTCAACAAAAGCACAATTTAATATTTTTATAAACTCCTTGGTTATACTTTGTTAGGAGTTTAAAAATGGCAGTAGACAGGGGAAAACAATCCAATAATACTATTTTCTATGTGTAATTTGTTAATGTTAAAAAATGAAAAAAACCTTCATTTTTGAATAGCTTATATATGCTATAGTCTGATTGAACCAATAGAAAAATATAGACCATACAAGATTTTATAGAAAAACTATTCAGTAGCTTGTTTTTGTTGCTGTTGCTCAGTCATAAAACCTCTACCAGTGTTTATGTTTTACCTGATCTTCTCATCATGTAAATCTTGCGTAAACACACTTTGTATGAAGTGAGTGTGCCTGTTTTGAAAGGTTAGCTAAGGCTTTGCCAGTGATGGCAATTATTCTGTCGTTTTACTTATATAGCTTGATGATGAACGTATGGAACAAATGTCAAACATGACTTTGATGAAGGACACCATAACCACTGTGGAAAAAGAAATGAAATCACTAGCAAGAAAGGCCATGGATACTGAGAGTGAGCTTGGCAGACAAAAAGCAGAGAATAATTCCTTGAGGTAAATGATACTATCTTTAAACCATAATATCTCTGCTTTTATTTTCTAAATAATGTATTTTATAATGAAAATTAAAGTTATTTGTCAACTTTAATTTCTGAGGTGATTACTATGAAGCAGTTAGAGAAACCTCTGCACTATTAAATGATTTCTCCAAGATCATTCATAGACTTGTGATGTCACACATAACTAAGAATTAGATTTCTAGCTATTTTAATCTTGTAAAAAGCTTTATTGCAGAGAGGGAAGAGAAGATAAGGAGGTAATTGTGCAACAATGAATATTTTTTAAACAAAGTGAACTGGGGGGATAAAAATATGCAACAATGAATGAATGAAAATATAACTTTTCTGTAAACTTATTAAAATCACAATTATAACAAAAATTTTGTAAAAAAAGATTTAATATTTATCCAAAATATCTTTACAAAACCTTTTTGAGTACAGAGCATATTTGAATTTTTTATTTGGTCATTTGTCTATTTTTGTAAGTTTCCGTTCTGTTGTAGGATATGCCCAGTGTAAGAAAGCTCAAAATACAGTAAATTTGACAGTAAGAGGTGGCTTAAATATAATAAAAAGCAGAGAAATAGAGCCATGTAGTGGAAATTTTATTAATTGAATGCCTAGTATTATTGAATACCTTCCCCATATAGTGGTTTGGCAGCAGAAAACATATCAGTTAAAGTGGTCTTACTCATGGTTCAAAATTGGGAAGGGCGTA